TTTCTAATCTAGTTGGTCAAGATCTCAAATTTAAGCCCTTTTTATATATAAAAAAAAAGTTTTCAAATTTCCAAGAATATTGTAAGTTCGCACTATTTGCTGATGTTATTAAGTTTATGCATGAAGCATCTCAACTAAAAAAAAATCGAATCTTATATGTATATATGTTTTTTTGTTTAAATACTTTTTGCAATAGTGTATTTTCTATATAAATAACATTATGCATATATATCCCCTATATATTAAAAGAGAAGTATTTCTAAAAAATAACCTTAATTTTGTAAAATATCACAGTGGTGCCATTTTGCTGATGTGTCATCACCAGAATTATTTTCCGCAAAGTTATAAAAATAGACTTATGTTACTAGATTAATTACATATTATACCACTCACATTAATTTGGTTATACATTAGTTTATATCAATTATATTGATGATGATTCATGAAGATATTCTCTTTTTCATTTCTTACCAAAAATACATCATATTAATTATTTATTTAAATACTATATTTTATCTCTTATTTTTATAGAAAAATAAATCATCACATTATTCATATAGTAAAATATTTATAGTGATATAATTCAAATTTCATAAAATAAATATAAATTACTCAAATGATTAATAAATAAAAGTATGTTTTAAAAGACTAAAATTAAAAATAAGGATGTGTAGATAGATGATTCATAAATCAATATAAAAATATATAAATGATAAAAAAAAACAGGAAGCTTAATCTAATATATATTATTATTATAATTATTTTTGGTTTCATATGGTTTTAGAGCCATATAAATTAACTAAATAATATAAATATTTAAACTTTATAACAAGTACAAAATATTAATAAAAGGTTGAACTATAAAAAATAGTTGAATATGTTAATAGAATATAATATTATAAATATTTTATTTGATTAAAAATATCATAAATTTTTAATTTATACAACAAAATAACTTGGTAAAAAATTAAAATATTTTTATAAGGATATTCTATAATAATTTTATTAAACTTTTTGATATTAAAAATATTTATATTGAATCAAAAAGTTAAGAATGTATAAATATTGACTCAGTTATATACAATTTATTTATTAAAAAAATATAATCTATTTTTATATAATCTTTATGTATATTTAGTATTTAAAATCAATTTCACAGTAATTTTCTATTCTTAAAAGTTAATATTCTTATGACTATAGTTTTTGGGAGTTAATCTAAATATGTATTTACATAGGTATAAAAAATATCAAATTCGATTATAAAATCTTATAATCAAATTTTTATTTTTATAATTTTAATATTCTCTATTTCAAAATATAAGTTGTTTTGGATCAAATCACAAAGATTTAAAAGCAACTTTTCTTTTAAAAAAGTTTTCATTTAGTATATAAATTGTATATAATTCAACTAATTATGACAAACTAAAAAATATAATCGGTTACATAGTATTCATAGAAAGTAGTAAAAAAAATGAAAAAACTATATTGTGAAACAAAAAAACCTTAAAAAAACTAATATTATGAAACAGAGGAAGTAGTAAATTTTTTTTATTATTATCATAACACATTAGATACTTAATAATTTAATCAAAATATATTCTATTTTTTTTTTGAATTTTAATATCATGTTATTAATCATAGGTTATAGAAAATATAAAGAGCGACTTTCTATTTCTATCCAGATTGTGCATATTTATTTAAAATTTAAAACTAATTTACATTATAATTAAATTACCTTATATTTCATAAAATAAACAAAAAAATTATTTTGTTATTATTACAACATAATATTATAAACAACTCATATAAAATCAATTATATTTTGTTATATAATTTTAAAATTATACTATATTAAATAAATAATTATTATTTCATCCGACACAGGATGCAGATTATTACTTAGTTATCTAATAAATCAGATTCAACTCATCATTAATTTTATATCACTCTTTATTTATATACAAAGAAAATTGTTTGTGACCCAGCAAATTTGACACATCAGCATTATAAAATGAATTTATAATTCCTTAATCTCAATTTTTGTTTTTGGTTCATGCATGAATTTGATAACATCAGCAGATAGTGCAAACTTAAAATATTCTTGGAAACAAAATCTTTGAGATCTTGACCAACTAGACTTGATGATGCATAAGTGAAATCCAATCCCATGTTTTAACTCTTACCAACTCTATTTCCTTTTTTTTTATCAACTTTTTTTTTGGATCAACCCAACTCTATTTCCTTTTGGATGAACTTCCTATGAATTTTGAATGACTATTCATTTTTGTGGTTAGAAATTTGACCAATTTTCTTGTTTTCCTTAGAATTTGTAAAAACCCTTATTGTAAAGATGTTCATGGAGGGGAATATATTGACTATATGTTAAAATCCAATCCCATCTTCTTATTCTTGCCAATCTTTTTTTTTTCTTTTTTGGTAAAAGTCTTTTATATATATATATATATATATATTTATTGATTGTTTAATTTTGTGGTCAGAATTTTGACCAATTTTTCTGTTTCACTTGGAAAATATATTCAAGTATGGGAATATATTGACCAATAAAAATTCAGTAATTAATGACAATTTCAGGAAAGAAAGATGCCTATCATATAAGATCATTTTCAATGGTTTATTCTATTTTTATTTAAAAATAAAGTTTTTTAATAAATGTAGATAAGGATTAATTCAATGGTTTACTTCTACTTTATAATCTAAAAATGAATATTCTAAGTATATACTATTTTTATTTAGTCATTGTTATCTTCTTATAAAAATTTATCCTTTACAAATTTTACCATTTTTTAACAATAATTAAATAATTTTGTGGCTTTATAAAAATGAAAAGTTTACCAGATTTGTTTTTCATTATATAACTAGTCACTACTAATATAAATTTATTTCAGTATAAAACTACAAAATATAATTTTTTAAAAAATATTATTTTGTAAATAAAAAGCTGTACTTTAAAAAATATAGAACTCTATTTGTAACTCCAAAATTATAGTTCTCTTTTAGGGTAATATATATAGTAACATTGGAGATCATTTTACTCTAAAAGTAGAGTTCATAAGCAAAAATAGAGTCTAATTGGAGATGTTTTAACAAGTAGAGAAATATGTTGACCAAGATACACCTCACTTATTTTTTGCCTATGTTTTTTTAAAAAGATTCAGTATTTAAAAAAAAAAATTAATATTAAACAATTTGTTTTAAAAAAATAAATTGTAAAAAATCTTAATTTTATTAGTTTCTCAAATCTTCTCAAATTTCTTCTAATCACCCTAGAATTTCTAACAATAATTTGTTAAAATCTCAAATCTTTTTTAAATCCCTAATATTTTGTATATAACCAAATAAATCCAAATGCTTGATTTAATAATATGCTCCCTTAATTTCTCTTCTTTCTGTGTATCAACCTTCGACTCATTGAAGATTCCATGTTTGTGAATTCGATCCACCCGATAGACATGAATCTATCGAATATACTTCTGCTTTTGATCGTCTGTTGTTCGTCCTACAAGGCCAATGTTAAGACTTAAGACCAGTGTTCTCTCGAAAACGTGGAGGAATCTCTATCCTGACACCAAGAATGTTGCTTTTAAGGAATCTGAGTACGTTAAGGCTTCTCAATATAAAGGAATAATAAGCAATGTTATTGGTTTCATGGCATGGATTCTTCTAGCTCTTCGAAAGAACACTCGTCTTCACAGTTTTCTTGAAGGGCAAGAAATAGATGATCATAATCAGAAGTACATCCTCCAGTATCAAAATCTGTCTGGTTGGCTAAAACAATTTGCAGAACGAGGTATATAAGAGAAAGAGATCAAACAAAAATCATTCGCAGTAAATCGGGCGTCTACATTATCACTGTTGTCAAAATTACAAATTGCGTATTAACATTGTCGATTAACAAATAGGATATGAGAAGTTCAAAAAGAAAAGGATTAAATCTGCTGCATAATGGGAAAAAGTTTCTTTTTTTTTTTTCTAGTACCTACTGGTATCTCCGTTTCTTGGCAAAACTATAAAAAACTTGGGTTCCCTTGACGAACTCTTTTATTATAGAACAAGTGTTAAAAAAAAAAACACTAAATACAGTAAAACCTCTATAAATTAATAATGTTGGGACCTCAAAAATTTATTAATTTATAGAATTATTAATTAATCGATAAATTAATAATTATTAATTTATCAAGAAATTAATATTTTATTAATTTATAGAGAGATATTTGAGTTCCAATTCAAAATATTTGTCAAAAAACAAAAAAAAAATCAATAATGTAAAATTTGTTCAGAAAATATCATATCAGTAAATTTGAAAAATAAGTCAAACAATTTTTATAAACTTGAAACAATAATATAATTATATTTTACTATATTATATTATTCATATATTTTTAAATATACAATTATTAATTTATCTAATTATTGGGACTATATTTTTACATAGGAGTTTCAAAAAAATTATTATCTTATTATCTTATCGAAATTTGCTAATTTTTACACTGGTTCGACTTGGGACCGGCAAAAATTATTAATTTATAGTGATTATTAATTTATCGAGTATTAATTTATAGAGGTTCTACTGTACATTTTCAAATGCATTAAAAATGATGCCCTCAGTGCATAATAGTCAATTCATAATACCTTGTTCTCAGTTCTTTTATTTTTTCGGTGACCATTTGGCTTATGCAAATTATTTAGATTGAAGTGGATCATTTTAATAAGTCCCTTAAGTCTATGTTCATTTAACCCAACTCTAGTATTAAACAAACAAAATACTTGCAAAAATTGAAAACAAAAAGAAAAGTAAACATCAAATATTAGAACATGAAAAGAGTCTTAACTGATATCGTTTGTATAACACAAATATATCAAAAGTTTCCGTCCATAAATAGGACCAAGCCTATATTATTCCGAGGCTCTTTTTCACAAAGATGCCGAAAGGAGAAATATCCAACTTTAACGTCAGAGAACCAAACTCAAAAACATCACTAAATGGGACGAAACCCACCATTGAAGACACTTAGACAATCACAATCGTTGTGCACCTCTACCACTACCTGTTTATTTATTCTCCGCAACATCGCGGCTCCCGCACGAGCCACCCTCATTTGATCTTCCCTCAACCCCTTCGCCACGCAAAGATCAACTGCTGTAATCACATGCACGCGCCAGGGTCTGGTCTTAACCAAATAGCTCAACACCTCCATCTGGTGAAAGCCACCAGTAAAGTTCAGCAACTGCACGGTCGTGACAGTCCTATTCAAACATCTGTATGAAATGTTTTGATGCCAATGTGTTCGTGGATCAATGCCACGATATGACAAATCCCTCTGCAAAAATATCATAGGAGAGTCATGAGTTTACTATCAGGTTTACTAATTATACGAAAACGGATTCTTAAGAAAATATGCCAAATACATTTTATACTAAAAGAGACCATACTATTATAAAAAAATAACAAAATAGCTTAAAATTAAAATAAAATTATACGAAAACGGATTCTTAAGAAAATATGCCAAATACATTTCATACTAAAAGAGACCATACATTTTATAAAAAAATAACAAAATAGCTTAAAATTAAATTATAAGCCCTACAAACTAAAAAAAAATAGCTCTCAAAACGAAACCCTAAACCCGAATCATGAACCCTAACCTCAAAAAAGTTTAATTTTTCATCCTAACAAGTAATCCATAAATCCAAAAAATGCTCTATTTCTTTAATTATGAAAAAATTGGCGTAAACTGAATTGATCTACTTTTAGTATTTTTGTTTCTAAAGCATATCCACATATATATATATATATATATATATGTAGCAGCAATCTTACCGAGGGGTTTGGAGGAACGTAATCGAGAACATAGACAAAAGTGATTGTTTCCAAGTCCCGGTAATTGTCAAGAAGGATCCTAATACCCATCAACTCCTTAGGATGCAGCTTCGTTTTCAGCACCAAATGTTCTACTTCCACACCACGAAGCATAAATTCAGGATTATCTTGAATCACCTTCCATTATATAAAAAAAAAAGGCACACACAGACACACACATGGTTAGATATATATACTCCGATCAAATTTGAGGTCTAACAATCTAACGTATAACTTGAAAAGGTATTACCTACTCTACTTTTACATATCAAAACTATACGTGTTCAACATATTCTATATCCTTTACGCTGAAACTAGAATCATTGGACGAAATATTAGATATCTTTTGAGTATATATATATAGACTAATACCGATAGCGATTATGCACTAATGTAATGTCAGTTAAGATTGCAAAGAGTCTTGTTAAAATACATACCTGAAGGGTATAAGGGCAGACCGTTATGATCGTAGCAGATCGAAAATCACTAAGAAGTTTAGCAACAATTTCTCCTTGCGCTTTGGTTGCTGCGTCCGGCTCATCGTACTCAGGCTCTACACCAAAATCAAACTCTACATCATGAACCATCTTATTCACTCTCTCGAAATCGAGGCACATAATATATCCCGAGTACTTGAAGATGTCTAAGATAGGCAGGACAAAGGAACAAGCCATGCGAGGGAAGTCGCAGTACTCGATAACCAGTTCCTCAATTCGCCCGGCTAACGTCTCGATGTCAAGGTCCCAACAGTATCTGATGCTTAGAGTCTTGAGCAGACGACACTTTGATAGCAAAGATTCCAGCTTCTGGAGACTGATCCAACCAATGTAGAGTCTTCTCAGACGTTCCGGGTTTGTGAATCTGGAGGGGTCAAACGCGCATCCGTAGATATACAATGATTCAAGGGTTTTGAGGCGGTAGACACATGCGGGCAACTTAATAGCAACGTCAAGCTCCGATGCAACATCAGTAGATCTCCAAGAAGGATCTGAGAAGTCAAGAACTAACTTCTTCACTTGTTTGGAGGCTGCGAATCTGATCAGATGTTGGATACATGCCACTAACCCCACCGGATTGCAGAGATGGATCTCAAAAGTGTTGATGATTTCACCTTCAAATCTTGACACAAATTCAGACATGTAGCTAGCAAACGAAACCCTAGCGGCTCTGTCGGAGTACATACCGTTCAGAAACTCGGATTCCTTGAAAGCAACATTCATTGTATGAAGGTAGAGATACCTCCACCGCTCGGACAGAATGCTTGTAGCGATACAATCCTTGAAGGGCAAGAAAGAGATGATTAGCACAAGAACTGCATGCGGCAGGGTCGATATTCTGTCTGGTTCGCTACTCGGCTTCATTTTCTTACTGTTCATCTTGGCTAAGGCTTCTGATTGGTCGGAATCTCAAGAATGTTTTTTCTAGGATGATGAATCCTGCGAGTTTACGGTATCTTTTTTTTTTTTTTTGTTGAAATTCTATAGATTCTACAAATAATAACTCTATGACGATGAGGCCATCCATTTTGATGAGTCATAGTCAACATGCTTATTAGTAAAGAATAGATAACTTTCTATAAGACGTAGTATGAAGTTACATTGTATGTTCATCGTGTCGCTCTGGCGTGACTGATTAGGGATTTTCTGGATTACGTTCATCCACAACGATTCACTCTTCTCGTGACCAAACTGATAAATGAGACTGGGCTTTCGCTGGTTCTGGGCTTCGGCTGGTTACTTAATATTGTCACTTGGGCTTGGGCAGATTTAATTGATGATTCACTTCTTTTGTTATTGGGTTTATTAGTACTCAGGCCTGTTTCAGGAGGGATCCTGTAAACACTTGCTTATTTTAAATTAACTACGTATATAATTCGCGCTACGCGCGAATCTTTATTAATATTTTGATTTATTTTTTTAGTTATTACCTTTAAAATTATTAAAAATATAATATATTAATAAAAAATTTCATTTATATAAGAGAATTTAATATATAATATATAATTTATCTTATTTTTATTTATAAACTTTAAAAAAAATATTAGATAAAATAATAACAATGACACTTATCAAATTATCTAACTTTGACGTACATATACATTTGATTTAGAGAAATATAATCTTGCTAAGATTTGGTAATATTTTCTGTTTTCCATAGAATTTTTATAGTTATTTTTTTTTTGAAGGTTTATGTGTTCAAATATTTAGTTTTTTTATTGAAAGTCTTATTGATGTTGTGTACCACTGCATATATAATCTATGATTCATGTTGATTCGCATTTAATTTTGTTAGGAAGCTGTAATGATTATGCAAAACCATTTTTTCTTTCTCCATCATATCTTCCAAGAGTTTTATGTTATATTTTTATTCAGTTTTCATTATTTTAATTGTTAAATCGAGTTGTTGTAGCTTTTTTTTAAATTGGTAATTGATAATGGTTATTTTTTTTTATACATGTATTGTTAATTATTAATTGTTAATTTTTCTTATTTAACTTTTAAAATTTTAAACTATATTAACATTTTCTGATTTTATAAATATGTTGATTTGGATCAATCAGATTGAAATTACTTTTTTTGTTGGACATAATTTGTTAAATTAACTTTTAATGTTTTAATTATACTTAATAATTTTTTGTTTGATTTAAAAGCTGATGTGGACCAATTAAATCAATTTTTTCTGTCATAATCATACTTAATATTTTTTTTATTTAATGAATATGCTGATGTGAACTAATCAGATTGAGTTTATTAATCCCATGTAGACGTCCTCAATGCACTATGCCATCAATTTTTATATATTATATGATGTAATTAAAAGTTCCAGAAAAATGTTAAATTAAATTAAATTTGTCAGAAATATTTTTTGGGGGGTATAAAAAATTAATCAATGGGGGTGAAGGAGACAAAAGGAGTGGAATAAAAACCTGTATAGTTAATTGTACAACATATAAAGTTATATACTATGTTTCAAAAAAAAATATATATATATATATATATATACTTTATTGCAACCAGGAAAAAAAAGATGTTATTTTAACCAAACAAAAAAACAAAGTTTACTAATGCAAAGAAAGATAAAGGTAGGTGATGATGGCTCATTTGGATATGTTATTTCAAAGCCATGTGTTTAAAATCCAATCCAATCTTCCAAGCCCTACCAACTTACTTTTTAAGTAATTAACCATATTTATTTTTGTGGTCAGAATTTTGACTAGTTTTTTCTTTTTCTCTTTGATTTCGAAAGGATCTATAAAAACCCTTACATTGGAAGGGGTATCCAAGGAGGGGAAATATATTTGACTGATAGAGATTCTGTAATGGCAGCCTCAGGCACCGTTGCTACTTTCAGAACCTCCGTTTCTTCTGCTCCTTCGTCATCGTCGTCCTCTTCCCAATCCACCCATTTGAGATCGCCCTCCAAAGTTCTCAAATTTGCGCCTCTGCCATCGTCTCGCTCAAGGTCATCTCTCTCCGTCTCTTGCACCGTCGCCAAGGACCCGGCTGTTCGAATGGCCGCCGGATCTGACCCGACCCTGTGGCAACGACCCGATTCGTTTGGTCGGTTCGGCAAGTTTGGTGGCAAATACGTCCCTGAGACGCTAATGCACGCTCTCTCCGAGCTCGAATCGGCTTTTCATTCTCTCGCCACAGACGAAGATTTCCAGGTTTGTGGGTTTCAATTTCTTAGAGCTTGTTCTTCGTGATTGGATTAGAAATGAACCATTTTGGCGTTGTGGGTCGTTGGGATTATAGCGTTATCATTTGAAGATGTGAGTTAAAGTTTGAATCTTGTCGATGCAAAATGAAATTTCTAGGCCTCTTGAGTCAAATTGGTTCTGTTCAAAGATAAAAATTTAGAGAGCCTTGCTTTGGTGTTCTTATTGGGCTTCTCTATGGGTTCTATGTCTGATTTGTGTCTTCTGTGTGTTTCTCTCAATGAATCCTGTTAGAGGGAACTAGCAGGGATCTTGAAGGACTACGTTGGTAGAGAAAGCCCACTGTATTTCGCAGAGAGGCTCACAGAGCATTACAGGCGCCAGAACGGCGAAGGGCCGCTTATATACTTGAAGAGAGAAGACCTGAACCACACAGGAGCTCACAAGATCAACAACGCCGTGGCTCAGGCTCTTCTCGCCAAGCGTTTGGGGAAGAAGAGGATTATAGCCGAGACTGGAGCTGGTCAACACGGTGTGGCTACAGCCACCGTGTGTGCCCGTTTCGGCCTGGAGTGCATTATCTACATGGGTGCTCAAGATATGGAGAGACAAGCTCTCAATGTGTTCAGAATGCGACTTCTTGGTGCCGAGGTAACGCCTCAAGATTCATCTCATCTGAATTTTTTAAAATGCAACAAACATTGTTTTATGAAACCTTTGTGTTAACAGGTGAGAGCAGTTCACTCTGGAACAGCGACATTGAAAGACGCGACGTCAGAAGCGATAAGAGATTGGGTGACCAATGTCGAGACTACGCATTACATATTGGGATCTGTGGCGGGTCCTCATCCTTACCCGATGATGGTCAGAGACTTTCACGCGGTGATCGGTAAAGAAACGAGGAGACAAGCGTTGGAGAAATGGGGCGGGAAGCCGGATGTCTTGGTGGCTTGTGTCGGTGGTGGTTCGAACGCGATGGGACTCTTCCATGAGTTTGTGGATGACACAGAGGTCAGGATGATCGGCGTGGAAGCTGCAGGACTCGGGGTGGACAGCGGCAAACACGCCGCCACATTGACGAAGGGAGATGTCGGTGTTCTCCATGGAGCTATGAGTTACTTGCTGCAAGACGATGATGGTCAAATCATTGAACCTCACTCCATCAGTGCAGGGTAAGAGAGAAAAGTTAACAATTCAGGTCAAATAGTCTTAATCCGGTTTAGCCACGGTTTAATGACCACGGTTTGGGTTTTGTCTTATAGATTGGACTATCCTGGAGTTGGACCGGAGCATAGTTTCCTTAAAGACATGGGACGGGCTGAGTACTATAGCGTGACCGACGAAGAAGCGTTGGAAGGTATGAATTGGATATCTCAATGCTTAGTCTTTTTTTCTCTTTGGTTCTTTAACGCGAATTTTGTTTGTTAACTTGCGTTTGCGTTTCCTACAATTTTCCGGTTTGTAGCGTTCAAGAGAGTGTCGCGGTTAGAGGGAATAATTCCGGCGCTGGAGACATCACACGCGCTTGCGCACTTGGAGAAGCTATGTCCGACGTTGCAGGACGGAACGAGAGTGGTGTTGAACTTCAGCGGAAGAGGAGATAAAGATGTTCAGACGGTGGCTAAATATCTTGATGTTTGAAGTTTGTTTCTGTTTTTCGTTTTCAGACAGTGATATGTTTTTGTACTTTGTAATTTATTTGTACTTGTGCTTCTTCTCCGGTCGGGACGTTTCCAAAATTAATGGAAACAGAAGAAAAGGACTACGAAGAGAATAAAATTTGAAAATAAATTGTGTTATCAATAATATAAAAAAGAAAAAGGACATTTCATATTTTCTAAAGAGCTCGACGGAAACTGTTCTTCAGTTTGTGTCTACTTTGCTATCTTCTTCCTTAGATAAAATTCTTTGTTGATATAATTAGAGAGCACCTTCTTCCTCTTTCGACTAATTTTTTCATTCGTCTCTAACCCCTGAGATTGAGCCACGTATTAAGTCGTCGTCATCGTGAAGCTTGAGAGAATATGTAAAGAAGATTGTCTTTTGCTTGATCAGTTCGATGTAGGAAAGCTCTCTCTCTTGCCACACAAGTAATACGGGTTTAGACCATGTTCAATGGGAAAAGCTCTTCTAAAAGGTTCTTACATATATTATATTAATATCAGGTTTATAACTTGCACTATGCGCGAGTTTTTATTAATAGTTTTGTTTAATTCTTTTTTTGTTACTATCTTTTAAATTATCAAAACTATAAAATTTTTATAGAAATTTGTTTTATATATTAGAATTTAAAACATAATTTAAAGTTTTCTCTTATTTTTATTTATAAATTTTTAAATCTTATTAAGTAAAATAGTAATAATGACACCTATCAAATTAATTAAATTTTAACATACACAAATTTGATTTAGAGAAATATTTTTTTGCTAAGATCTTGATGTTTTGTTTTTTCCATATGATTTCTAGAGTTCTTTTCTCTTTAAGGTTTAAAAGTTCAAATATTTAGTTTTTTTAATTGAATGTCTCATTGATGTTGTGTACCTGTGCATGTATAATTCATGATTCATATTGATTCACGTTTAGTTTTGTTAGGAAGCTGCAATGATCATGCAAAGCCGTTTCTTGCTTCTATTTCAGGTCAACCAGGAATTTTAACTTATATTTTTAGTCAGTTTATTATTAAAAAAAAATTTTTGCAGTCTAATATTTACCAGTTTTAATTTTGAAACTTA